TGCTCTCAGCCTCAGGGGAAGACAATGGCAAACTTCCTCTGAACAAATTTGACAAGAAAACCCCATGTTAGCATCACCTTAGGATCGCCATAAATTGGAAATGACTTGAAGGCACACAACAACAACAACATTTTGCAGGTCACATGCTCTCAGCCTCAGGGGGAGTCAATGGCAAACCTCCTCTGAATAAATCTGGCCAAGAAAACCCCATGCTAGGGTTGCCTTAGGAGTCGGAAAGCACACAATAGCAATACTAATGCTGGTCCGAATCCTGTGCAAGGAGAAAGGCGGGCTGTTAATTAATCAAATAATTAAAACTGACTGCAAGGAAGCATTTTTCAGAGAGGTTACGGCCAAGAGCAAAGGCAGCAGAGTCCCAGCTTTTGCGGTCATAAAATCATGTGACCGTCTCAGCTGGGCTTTGCTTGAAAGACTGCACCGAAATGCAGCCTTAGTTGGAAGGGCAGGACCTGAGCCAAGCAGCCTGGTAAACAGGAAGGCAGGTCAGGTCAGGTCCCAGGATTCGAACACACACCCCCATCCCCAAAACTGATCTTTCTCCCCCCATTCCTCTCCGCCTTCCACATCCCTCTGCTGAAAACTTTGGAGCTCCAGATCCGGCCAGCTGTTCTCCCCAGGGAGGCCCTGGAAGACAAGAAAGCAGTGTGCAGGAGCCAGGGCATCCTTGCAGAGGGAGGAAGGAAAGAAAAGGGTCACACTGTTTTCCTCCAGGCTCCAAAGAGCAAAAGAAGCCCTGGAGCACAGGCGGAAGAAGCTCGCCCTGCCCTCCGCCCCCTGATGCAGACAGCCATCTGTCAGGTGCACCAGCTAGGAAGGGCTCTGTCCCATTCCCAGCCGGACCCAGTGGGCCCATGGAGCAAGATGAGACCCTTTCCAGTGGCTGCGGGGGAGACTTTTCGTTTAAAAACAAGAGGGGAGGCTGGCTGTGTATCCTCCCAGGATAGCAGATAGGAAGGGGTTTCATTGCTTATTGCTTATGGGGGCTTGTGCATCCATTTCGGGTGCAATCATAGAATCACGGTGTTGGAAGAGACCTCAAGATGCCTAGAATGGAGTGAGGATAGAAACGGATATAATTGGTTGAGGTGCCCAGTGTAACCCCTTTTTTGAAACTGGGTAGGTAATGAGGTTCCCTTGCTTTGAATCTGTCTCTTTTTCTATACAATAGAGTCATAGAATCCTAGAGTTGGAAGGAAGGGTCCCCAAAGGCCATCCAGTCCAACCCCCTGCCATGCAGGAATACATAATCAAAGTACCCTGACAGATGGGCATCCAGCCTCTGTTTAAAATCCTCCAAAGAAGAGAAGTTCTTCCTAATGTTCAGGTTGAATCTCCTTTCCTGTAGTTTGCATCTGTTGCTCCGGGTCCCAGTCTCTGGAGCAGCAGAAAACAAGCTTGCTCCCTCCTCAATGTGACATTCCTTCAAATATTTAAACATGGCTATCATGTCACCTCTTAACTTTCTCTTCTCCAGGCTAAACATACCCAGTTCCCTAAGCTGATTCTCATAGGACTTGGTGCTTTCCAGACCTTTCACCATTTTAGTCGCCGTCCTCTGGACATGCTCCAACTGAGCCTGATCGGGTCACTGAGTTAGTAGATGGTGGGAATGCTGTGGCTGCCATTTATCTGGATTTCAGCAAAGTATTTGATACGCATTTGATATTTTGATTAGCAAGCTGATTGAATATGGAATAGATGGAACCACCATCAGATGAACCCATAACTAGTTGGAAAAACCATGCTCAGAAGTTGTCAGGTTCAAACTGGAAGGAAGTCTTGACTGGGATGTTGCAGGGTTGCGTCCTGGGGCCGATGCTCTACGATATATATCTACCGTATTTTCCGGCGTATAAGATGACCCCCCATTTTTCCAGTCAAAATATAGAGTTTTAGCACCTCTATCCTCCTTATCCTTATACCTGGCGTATAAGACGACCCCCCCCCACTTCAACCACAGATTTTGCAGGTTAAAAAGTAGTCTTATACGCAGGAAAATAAGGTATATCTATAATCTGTATATCTCAATGATTTAGATGATGGGGTGGAGGGAATCCTTACCAAATTTGTGGAGCATACAAACCTGGCAAGGGTAGCTAACACATAGGAGCAGAATTCAGAAGGACCTTGCTAAACTAGAAAACTGGGCAGAGATTAATAAAATGAAATGGAACAAAGACACATGCAAAATTACACATTTAGGCTACAAGAACCAAATGCTTTGAGTATAGGATGGGGGATACTTCGTTCAGCAGTACTGCTTGTGAAAAGTACCTCGGTTCTGTTGTTGATAAAAAATTGAACATGATCCAGCAGTGTGATGGCGCAGTAAAAAGGCAAATGCCATTTTAGCCTGCATTAAGAGAAGCATAATTTTCATGTCAAGGGAGGTAATACTGGTCCAGCCTCATCTGGAGTCCTGCATTCAGTTCTCTGGAGGTCTTCAAAAAGAGCCTGGACAGCTTCCTGCTCTAGCTCAGTGATTCCCAAACTTTGGTCCTCCAGATCTTTTGGACTTCAACTCCCAGAAGCCCCAGTCACCATGGTGAAAAGCCAAGAATCCTGGGGGTTGGAATCCAAAACACCTGGAGAATCAAAGTTTGGGAACCATTGCTAGAGTCCCTTCCAACTGTATGATTCAAATATTACTTGAAACTGATTGTAGCATTCCCTAGCTAAACATTTTTATGTCTCTCCATCTTATTTTGTTGATATTTGAATTATTATTAATGCACAGTTGCATTTGAATCTTACATTTGTATGGTCCTGAGAAGTCAGTGTGGTGTAGTGATTTGAGCATTGGACTATGACTCTAGAGAACAGGGTTCAAATCCGCTCTCAGCCATAGAAACCCACAGGGTGACCTTGGACAAGTCACACACTCTCAGCCTCAGAGGATGGCAGTGGCAAAGCCCCTCTGAAGAAACTAGTCAAAAAAACCCTGTGATAGGGTCACCATAAATTAGAAATGACTTGAATGTACACAACAACATCAAATTGTCATGAGTTCCTTTTTGGATGAGGTGAGGTTTACACATTTATGAAATAAAAGTCAGTGACATTATCCATATAACTGGAGGGCTTGCCCATAACGTTCTTGCATATATGGAAATCACCACCCACTTATTCTACTAGTGCTAGTGCATACGTGAAACTAAAGGAGAATTCCATTGGAGTTTTGCACCAACATAACCCAAATTGTGCACTGAGAAAAGCTGAATTCTGGTTCACTATAAAACTCCCACAAATTAAGGCTGCTTCGGCCGATTTGCTTGCTTTCCATACTTACAATGCCACTTCACTTTTTGGTAGCTTTCAAGGTTTTCTCATCTTTGAAGGAAGATACTGTTTTGTGTCAGACAGAAACTTTCTTGCAAAGAGCAAAACAAACAAAACAACAATTGGAAAGTGGATGTTGTGCCCTTCACTAAATTCTGTATTAAAATCCAGCAGTCCAGTTTTTCAGTTTACACACGAAGAGCTCTGCCAGCCTTGCTTTCCAACATGACCATTCAAATGCACCAGTCAGAGGTCTGCAAGCAGGTCGTGAATGTAACAGTACTTGCCCATTTTCCCCGCAACCAATATATAGAGCAAGAGTGTGGAAATTGCACCCTACAGGCTCCATGCCATGATGAATCCATTTTTATGGGCCCATCCAACTCTCCAACATCTTTATCAATGACTTGGCTGAAAGAATAGGGGGCATACTAATCAAATTTGCAGATGACACCAAATTAGGAGGAATAGCTAATACCCCCAGAGGACAGGATGAAAGTTCAAAATGACCTTAATAAATTAGAAAAC